TGTGTGTGTGTGTGTGTGATAGGGTTTGAAAATTAGGGTTTCCATGATGACACAAAAAGTGCAATGTGAATTTGATCATTAGTACACCCGCTAAAATACAGCCCATTTACAGCAGTTTCCAGTTGAACAAAAGTCCAATTTTACAAGAATGTGCGGCCTGGGGTGTCTACATTTTGGGGCATTTATCCAATTAACAAGGTTTAGGAGGCTCCAGTTTAAGGTCCAGATTGAAACAAAAAAACAACAAAACCAAAAAATTGTCCCTTTTGGTGAATGAGAAAATACAACTCCAAGAATAAAAATATCTTGTGTGGTAGGTATTTGGTAAACTGCCCTTTACGGTTATTTGACTGTCATATAGCAACATCTTATTGATAATGACAATTCAGTCCGTTAAAAGGCTAAATTAATTATTACAGAGTCCATTTCAGGGGACGAAACCCCCCAAAAGACCTTCAATCCCTGTTTGTCCCCACTATGATACTGATGCAACCCTTCAGTAAGACTCCACCATTAGACCTTTATAAATTAAATTAAATGAACGTGCAGGGCAAAACGTTGTAGCTTCATTAATGGAGGACATGCATTGTATATTATTAGTGTATTATACTCTATTATATTATAGTTCTACAGTCAGTGAAGAATGGCTCTCAACAGTTTCAGTTGACGAGCGCGACCTTGAAGAGCAGTAGCCTGACATCTCTATTCCCCCATGCACACACACACACACACACACACGGTTTCCTCGTAGTGTCAGCACAGCCTCTGTCCTCGTGTCCTTCAAGAAGCAGCAGTGCATCGATCAGGGACGTAACGTTATTGGCAAGGCACTGAAAGATTTAAGCAAAAACGATTTCATTTAATCCCCTGCTGTCACGCACTGTTGAAACTATAATAATAATAATAATAATAATAATGAAAAATCATGATGATGATATCTTGCTATAATTACATGTGTCATTGCATTAGGAGGACTTCCCCCGGGAATCCTAAAAGCAGAAACTATTTAGGGTGAAAATAAGCAAATAAATCCACATTTATGTTGACATCTCAGTCTATAAATAAATTATAGGGGGGACGAAATACGGGTTGAAGTCTGCTTACGCCCAAACGGAGCAGATGGGAGCGGTTAAAAAAGAGATGGGAATCGTATAAATGTGTCTTTGGTGACGGTTGAGTCATTTGGCTGTCACTTCACATATCACTCACTTCTTATTTCGTTTGAAAAACGTCAGGACAAAATGACGAATGTCGTCGCGGCGCCTAAATAAAGACACACTGTGTGACTGCCGGGAGTGTGGGTGGTCTTGAAGTGACAAACCCGCACGGAAATCTTTCTCAAGTATTAACGTGTCATATATACGCGTATAATGATGTACCATTAGGACTTCGATGAAAAATGAAAGGGCGTTTGGATGGATGCACCCCGGATGTCTAACGGGTTCCGTGTTTGTGGTGGTTTGAGGAAGAGCAAGTTCCAGGTCTATTCTGGTCACAAGGCTGTAATCTTTCAGCAGAGATGGGTCGTTTGTGCGCATTTGAGCTGAAAATCTGTAAAAATGGGTTCAGTCTCAAATCGTCCATTTTCAAAGCCAGTGCCTCTGGCTGAAGTTCCCCACAGCAGATCCAGTGTGTGTGTGTGTGTGTGTGTGTGTGTGTGTGTGTGCGTGCCTGCGTGCGTTATGCTTTGTGTCTCGTGATTTTTATTGGCTCAGTTTTCGTTCCTGCCGTTATTTAAATGGTTTTTTAACCACCTCTGCAAGCGCTCCATGTGGATTTTAATGGACTGATGCGGTGAGTAATGACTCCCTGTCAGGGCGAGTGTGCGCAGAAAACTTCAATAGTCTGCTAATGTTTTTCCCCCTCATTTACTCTGCAAATTATATGAGCAGGATATCAATTAACATCGTAGATACAGCGGGAGAAGCTCAAATAAAATTTTAAAAAAAGAAAATCCCAAATCCTTGTGCAATATTTATCAATTGTCCAATTTGCACTTACAGGGGGGAGTGAAAGAAAAAGAGGGAGAGAAAGGCTGGGTCTGGATAAAGAAAGTAGTCATGTGTTGGTTTTCGTTTCAAAGACTTTCAGGGAGCTGTGCTGAGGGAAAACAGAGGAGTCAGCCCTCCCACCCTTCATCCTTAATAATCATCTGTCAAAACACCCACAAACTAATTTAACCATTTGCACACAGATCTGGTAAATAAAGGAGGCTTTACACCCCCTTCTGTCTGGAAACATGTGCTCCAACAACTCTGAAAAAGACCAATAGGCCTGTTTTCTGTAGCCGGACGAGTCCCACTGCTTCCTTTATATGAATCCCGAGACAACACAGATGACATGAAAGCGGAGCAAACCGAGGGCCTTTAGAGAAGATTGCTTTTCAGGGTCTAAATGTGTGTGGCTGGTCTCACAGGGGGGACCGCTCGCTGTGCGCACATTCACTCCCTTGGGCCAGGGGTCCACACTGACAACATCAACAAACGGCCAAAAAGCCGCATTATGGTGGATTAGGAGCCTGATGAAAAATGCTGCTACAAATTAGCAACGAAAACCCCAAAAGACCGTGGGTATATCCTTGTTCACTTTCAATTACAGACCGCCGAGGCCTGTTAACGTCCCCCATTCATTTAGGCCCTTTGTAACTTGCTAGAAAATGGTTCTTTACAAGCGAGCGAGAGCCACACAAGAGGAATACTTGCCCACTGTTGCGTGATATTCATGACTGTTATATACATCAAGTCGTGTTTAAAATATTTAAACTGAATTTTGTGCGTTTCTCACACCTAAAAAGGAGTCTTAATTAACTGCATTACTCAGAGACTTGGTCCCAGACAAGGTAATTTGGTTGTGTGGTTGCTGTGTCCACGCCTGAATGAACTAATATTAGAAGCTGCATGATTGGAACAAGAATACATTTTAAGTTAAATAAAGTAAATAAATAAAAAATATATTTTACTAAAATGTTTCAAAATGTGAGTCATTCAAAGCAATTTAAAAAAAAAAAAAAGGTTGCTTAAAAAGGTTAATTTAATTTAATTCACTTGGTGTGCTGCTGTCTAAGTCTATTTTAGACCCTTTCTGTGTGTCAAAAAAACTGCAATAAAATAAATTAACGATTTTTTTTCTTTTTTAATTCACAAACATTTATTATTCTTGTCGTTACAACAAAAAAATGACCTATGAACATTTAGGTGTCTCTCTCTATTGGCAACACATGACATACTGTATGTTTCACAGATTAAATTGTGAAATAGATAGGAACGAACAACAATAAAAAGGTTGAGAGAGGTAATGCGCTCTTTTATACTAAAACCACATAGCCTACGTGTCCACCGACAACAGGAAATGATATTGTCACAAATTCACCATGTAGGGGAGGTGTGTGCCTGTGTGTGTGTGTGTGTATGTTGTGGGTGGGGGGGATATGGGATATGGTTATTTTTGTGCCCCCTCCCTTTTGTCTCCATTCGCTTTCTAAGTAAAACCTGAGTTTGCCGTCTCTGCCTATGTCAACAACAACAGTGCCATTTTCTCACGACGCACAAAATAAAAACAATTTAAATCATAATAAATTTCTCAATTGTATTTTTTTTTGTAAAGAATCTGGTGACACCTTTAACTTATGTTAAAAATAACAGGATCTTTTTCTCCCACTGACAAATGAAGGCCACATGTCAGATTTCAGGCCAGCATTGTTTTAAAAAGATCCTTCTCAGAGTTTCTCTTGCTTTTGTCTCTCAATATTATACACATATTTACAAACCATAAATAAACCTTTGTCTCCTATTACATTGTTAGGAAACGGGGAGAGCAAAAACACTCTTATTTCACCAAGGATGTACAGCCTACCTTCACATAGGAGGACGCCACAATTGGCTTTTTAATAAAAATTTTCAGCGGGCAATATCACCACTTTTTTTTTTTCTAGAAAGGACAAGTGTTCATATTAGGAGTTTTGCTGGAAAAAGTCTGACTCTGTGGGCTGGGATGTAATATGCTGTCCTGTGATAGATTCAAATGGTTGGAAGCAGAGGCCAGTGCTGGGGTCAACATGGCCAGGATCTGAGCCTGGCTGCTCGGTTGTGCGCTGTAGGAAGAGGCGGTGGAGTTGGCCGCACCGATGATATTGTCAATGGAGAATGAAGGCCGACTCGGGGTGCTGGAGTCCGTCTTGAGAGGCGGCAGAGACGGGCTTAGTTGAGGATAAAAGGGCTTCCTTAAATCTGCCCCTAAAAGGGTGGGCAGGGGATGCGGCGCAGGGAATATGGAGGCTGATGGGGGCAAGGTGCAGGGGGCGTTAGGGAACGGGAATGAACCACCTGTGTGGTGTGGGTGATACGGGTTGTGGGCTGCGTGGAAGTTCTGCAGCTGAAGTCCATAGTTGTATCCGTACGGGCCGTATCCAAACCCGGGTAGAAAGCCACCGGATTCCCTGAGGATTTCATTGGCTTGGTGCCTCTTGAAGCGCTTCCTCCTGCGCAAGAAGCTCCCGTTGTCAAACATGTCTGCTGAATCTGGGTCGAGGGTCCAGTAGTTGCCCTTTCCGGGGTTGCCAGGCTCTCGTGGGATTTTCACGAAGCAGTCGTTTAGGGAAAGGTTGTGGCGAATAGAGTTTTGCCACGCGGGGAATTTCTCCCGGTAGTAAGGGAATCTATTGCTGATGAACTCGCAGATCTCACTGAGAGTGAGTCGTTTCTTGGGGCTCTGCAGGATCGCCATGGTGATCAGAGCGATGTACGAGTAGGGTGGCTTCACAAGTGCACTTTTTCTGGTTTTGTCCCCGATCACGGTCCCGACCTCTGCGTTGGACCCCATTTGGTCTGACGGGCAGTCGGAGCTGCTGAGCCCGGGAGAGGAGACCCTCTCGGCCGCGTTCTGGGAGTAATTATCGTCCGAGTCATTGTCCAAGTTGAACTCGTGGTGAATGTACTTTCCGTCCTTTCCTACGGATATGTCACCCCCAACCACGTCGATGTCCACATCTTCGGACAATGCAGAGCTGTCGGACATATCCGCCCCTAAAGTCATCCTTGGAGACACCGCTTCTCTTCCCCCTCTCTCCCAGATTTCCTCCTCCCCTAGTCCGGTGAGGCTACTAAGCGAGAGCGCACACACACCACTCTCCCTCTCCCCCTTACAACCACACCAGACTTTTGCTGCAGCTTTATCTCCAACTACTGAATGCACACATGGCTAGAATCTATTGAAAAGATAAATAACTCTTTGACCTGTAGATTTTGCGCCTCCTGGTCGTCCGAAGCTGGTCAAGCCGGGCCGTGCGAGGTTCTCATCGAGCAGAAAACTTCTGGTTTTCAAGCGTAAAAAAAAAACAGTCAAAGATTATCTCGCACCAGTCTGGACTTGTGCTTTCTTGAGAGGCGATTCTTTCCGTCTGTGATCAGTTTATGTTGTAGGTCATTTAAAAAGCTACTTTTGGATATCCAAGTAGCTTTCCAAAATATCTTTTACGCACGGGATTGGGTAGGTATCCAGCCAGACTATCACACTATCCTCCTTAGCGCTCAAAAGGTATTTATAGGTCCACGCTGATCACGTGGTCTTTGAGTCACAGTTACCAGGAACTGGATGAAATTACCCTGCAAAAAGTAGTATTTGGATCTGATCTTTCAAATTTCAATACCACATTTCGTTAAAAAAGAAATAAAGAAAAAATAATTAAAACCTGTTATGGAATAATATCCAACGTTCATATGCATATTAGCTTGTTTTTAATATTTTTTTAATTTTCTTAATATAGTTAGGGATCAATCTCCCGTATTCTGTGCTTTATCAATATATATAACATATTAAAAAAATAGGAATATGGATAAAAATGCATTAAAAACAAAATTGTCTCATTGACAATCCATCAATTACATTTCTCATCTAAAAACAATTTTATTTCTGAACTGCGTGACTCAATTAAATGGGCTTTTTTATATATATATATATATTGTTAACTTTTTTGCAGTGTAAGGTGAGAGAAGTATAAGGTGTACTCGGCTGCTGGTGATTATGATCTTTATGAAATAACCTGCAAACACCTGCAAAGCATATATCAACATTTGTACGGTCTAATCGAGTGTCCCATTTGTTTATAATGCAGTGACGAGTAAGATATGCAAATTCATAACTGTATGAATGATCATCGAAGGAAGAGATATTGACATAGGTCGAAAGGCAAACCCCCCACAGAAAAGCGTGTAACGTGCAAGTATGCATGCAGACAGTCAATGGTACATTTAATTATTATTATTATTATTATTATTATTATTATTATTATTATTATTCCCGTTCCTTTTCATATTTAATGTATTTGTTGAGAAATAAAATAAATTGTGTTCCTTTAATCTGGAAAATAAAAATCTAATGCCAAATGCTGCTAAAATATGTATTGTCACTATTTTCTTACGACGTTTAATTGAAAGCTATTTTTAACTTTTAACGTTTTGATTTGTAACATTTTTATCTGTGACATCAGTTTTTGTTGAGCTATTCGAGGTGTTAGATAAATAATTATACACACGGAGCTGATCTGCTTATATTCTGCTCCCTAATAAATTGGCTGATTCGGCCGCATTGAATTCCCCCTCAATGGGGTCTTGGCCAGCAGCCTAATTCCCTGATCACTTCTCACGGGTTTTGTGTTTTCCTTGTCAAGAAGTCACAACATTATCCATCTGAATTTTCTGCATAATTCACGAGGGTGCACAGGGGTGCATTCAGCTGCAACCTGCTCCAGTTTGTCTCCGTCAGGAGGGAAAAGGCCAGCAGATGACAATGTGTAATGTGTCTCTAATGTGTACGGGTTTATTCACAGCAGGCTGACATTCCAGTTCATTGCAATTATTATTGTAAAGCGTTTGCATCAGCATCCCATTCATCCTACGCCTCGAACAACATACAGATTGTGATTTTTGTGTTTCATTTTTTTTTTTTCTTATCGGGAAGCAAAATAGTTTTCATGCAATCTCGATACAATTAAAGCTTATCTCTGCATTGTTTGTTTGCTGGTTTGTTTATCCAAGCCTGCTTTTTATTTGTTGGAGGAAACGACTGTTCCACAGAGGAATCAAGTGCAAGTCAAGCATACAACTTGTTTAATACACCATGACTGAGCCGTGTGTCCTCTTCTCTGACCTGCCAGCCACAAGCCTTTTAAAATCTGAAATAGACTCACTGACACCTGTCTGACAGCTGCCCGACAGACATGACACATTACTTTCTCCAGGTCTCTTCAGCACCCTACATTATGAACTTATTTATCTATTTACTTATTTTGATTCCTAGATTCGCCCAAGGTTTTGGCGCCATGGAAAAAAAAAATCACTCTCCACATTTGATCTATTTATTTATTTATTTATTTATTTGACCTCTCACACCGTCTTCCATAGCTAGTTACCTGAATATGGAAACTAGAATTATTTATGCTTAGATTTATTGATTTATCCTGTTGGAGTAGTTGATGATTGTATTTTTAAAGATCTATAGCCAATATTGTATTTGACAATCAATAAATAAAAGATTATTATTATGATCCTATTTTGTATAGCTGTAAATTTACAGGCCTGTTTTCAGCTGTTTTTATTATCAGTGTACCTGCACATATTTAATCATGACCTATGGCTGAAAGGCCATTATTTTATCGAATCCTTATTTGCTTAAAGTTTCTAAATAATTAAAATGTAACAACCTACAAAACGTGCGTTGTGGATATTTCAGGATTTTCCGGTTCCAGTGGGGGTTTTTGGCTCTTATGAGCCGTGATTTGTCCGAATGGAGGAGTTTCTCATCATTGTAGTTTGTGGTGCTGAAGCGCCCTCTGCTGTTGTTAAAGAAATACAAATTATTTTATTATTATTGGCTGTCTAAATGACACCAGTGTTATAAAGATGGGGCAAATAGTAAAACAACAACATTTCCACTGAACTGAAAAATTGAACGCTGCTGAAGTATTCTAATATTTTAAGAAAGTGGCAAATTAAGTTTAAAGTCAATTAAATCAGCCATTATATGTTAATAAAATGCAACATGTTAATATGGAAATATTGTCTTATTAAAACATGTCAGAGTATATTATCAGTAGGCCTAAATAAAGTGTTAACTGTGTGCACAAGTGTTAGTGTACCTAACAATTATACATTATAAGATTTGCATTACATTGGGAGATCAACATTATGCAGCATCTTGCAAAACTGAGGTTGAATGAACCAAACTGTCCAAAATAGGATCTAATAGAGGACTAGGACTCGGCTTCAAACGAAGGGAGCAGACTGCACCATGACTTCATGACTTATAATGTCAAACATCTGAAACCTCAAGTGGCAACTGGAGCACAGTGTTCCAAATATCTTATGAAGCCAAAAATGGATAGAAACAATAAAGGAGCGCCTGGATATTTTGATTATCTTCTGTTTTGAGTTGGAGAAAGAAACACTCACTATGAAGAATTTCTGAATGCATCTTGTTTGTTGTTTTTCAGACAACTGGCCAGACACAACATTTCCAATGCAATGAGTTTTGTGGTATAAACATTTTCAGTTTGAAATTTTAATGGTAACACAGTTTGAAGCAAGACCCGAGTCTTGAGTCCAGGTTTTGCACATGGAAATTAGACTTTATTATCATTTCATTATAAAGAGTTCATATTTAGCACAAAAAACACAAACCTAGTCAAATTCTACAACATAAACAACCATCAGTCTACAGTTAATTTCCAAACAGGAAAAAGTTATTCTGTCTTGCTCTACTGCCCTTCTCTCTTTGTGTAAAATCAAAGCTTAGTGAATTCCAAAAGTCACACCTATTCTCTGACAATGAACAAACAAAATTGGGAAAAAGAGGAAGTCACAAACTGAACAAATGCCTCTTCCCCCAATAAAAAATCAGATCACATCTGATCTGTGTATCCAACCAACCTAATTACAAAACAAGCATTTGGAACACAAGAACCTATAATTTTCTTACTTCAGCAGTGATTTTGCAGTTAACTGTTGACCATTAGTGTAATTAGGCCGAATCATAATCCCAAATTGCAAAAAGAAAATCTTCACTCTAAGAGTGAGAGCAGTCCCACAGGTTGAACATCATGCTTTTGCTTCCATCTAGTGGTGGAGAGTTTCAACCTGTTCCTTCAGCACTTAAGTGAACAAACAGATGTTGCCTAAAGTTTGTTCATTGGTTATGTATTAGAATAATGAGGTTTAGCTGGTTAAGAGCAGGCCTACACTTTGCATTTGACAAACTGCTTTAAAATATCTGTAACACTCCCAGGTCATGCAACATGTGGATGTGGAATATCAAAGGCTGTTGGCTTTGCTGTTAACTATTTATTATTAATATGTTGTTTCCCTTCTCAGAGACTGTCTCCAAACCAGAAAACAAGTCTTGTCAGTTTTCACTCACGTATAGTGCTAGTATGTGCTACCTGCTTTGGCCCTGTGTTTGATAATGTGCTGGTCAGACTGACCCACCAGGTGGCTCTGAGGTATGGATGTACTGTGGTTTCTACTGTAACAGGTGGGAGGAACAGTAGCTGGGACTCCATCTAAGAGTTTATAATGCAATCCTTACACCAGTACTAATAGTATCATGGGCCCATAACATACTTTTGCCCCTTTGCATCGATAGTTTGTGTGATAGTGTGGTTTAGATGCAGAATCTGGAGGCCTCATTATCAGACTAGAAATGATCTGTCATTAACAGTAATCGTCCTACCACCAGCAGTTTTGTAACTTCCATCTGACAATATTATTGATAGATATTCATAACCTGAGCAAAAATAAACTCCACACGTTTTATTTTTTATTTTTTTGTAACTTCTCTCTGTCTTTTCTCCATCTTTGTTTCTGTGAGATGTGTTTTGGAAAACATTTCATCAGGAACACCAAGATGTAACTACTGTCACTGAATTACCTTTGTATCTAAATAGTATTTCTTTTTTTTCACCCAACACCAAGTATTAGACTTTCTTTCTACATTTCTACATGACCTCAGATAGGGAAGCAATTTTAAAAGATTGGTTGTATTTTGTTTGCTGGTTTTCTGGGCTTTGCTAATTAAGGTATATTTATTGAGAGTAGTTCAAGTATTTGATATTTTCAACAAAAAAAGTAATAGATAAAGTCAAATAAAATGCAAATACAGTTGATAATAACTGCTGTAAAGTGAGTAGATTTGTTATTTAATACTCAGAGAAAACAGAAATGTGCATCAACACCCTTAAATCCAAAAATATTTTTTGGAACATAAAACTGACAAACATCTATTTCACAAGTCGCAAAAAGCACTTTAATTAAAATGATCATGAAAAAAGGAGGAAATAGAAAGTTAATTAATTCTGAATAAGAACTTTGGTGGCATTAAAAATAAAGGAAATAACTACGAATAAAAACAAATGAACCATTCAGTTGGGTTTTCTATTGAGGTGTTGAAGATGTAACGAAGACTTGTACAACATAGTGGGCTACAACAGCCTCTATTCATTGTTGGTAAAAAAAAAAAAAAACTGT